TAGTTTTTGGTAGAGATCGGCCGGGCCGTTTTCTTGTAATAAAGTTTTTTTAAAAAAAAAATCGGCGATTTTTATGATTATTTTTTTGGCGGTAGATACCATAGTCTTCTAGAATCTAGGGCCGTAATATTTTAGTATGATCTAGAATCTAGATCATACTAAAATATTACGGCCCTACGACAACTCGTTTAGCTTTAAAAATTCGTCAAATTTGCAAAAATTAGTATGGTCCTTTTTGGCATTTGTCAAAATTAGAACTTTCATCGACGTTTGCTCAAAAACGCCTGAACCGATTTCAAAAATTTAAAAACCATTTGATGTATCTCGATGAGATTTATCGTTTCTCAGTTTTGTGCGACGATCGGCCAAGCCGTTTTTTTGTAAATTGAAAAAAAGTGTTAAGCTTTTCGTCCACATTTAAGCTCATTCTACCGAATCGATTTAAAATAATCAAAAACTGTTCGAAAGATATTAGTAGTGAATAATACTGATTAGTTTTAGGTGAAAATCTACCGAGCCGTTTTCTAGTAATTAACTATTGAAACAAAAATTTAAGCCGATTTTTATGGAACTTTTTTTGGCGATATATATCAATGTCTTATACAACTTATTGAAATATTACGCCTTTACGACAAGTAGTTTAATTTTAGAAATTTACCAAATTTTAAGAAAATGAGTAGTTTTTTTGACATTTGTTAAAATTAAAAATAGACGACTTACTTGGTGTAACGATAGAATTCTTGGTTTTGAAGAACATACTGAGCCATTAAAGTCCTATGGAAACCGGTTCAATTATAATAATTGTTGATTTTTGAAAATTTGCTTTTAGAAAATACTCCGAGTCAAAGTGTTCGTTCGTGTTCAATTATGTTTAATAAATCCACTCGGAATACTTTTAATCACTCATAAATTAATTTATTTTTTATTGATTAAGTCGATTATTCACACATATCGGAAAGTTCATGTAAATACCAAACCAACTAGTTCAACTTATTTTTATTGAGAGTCCATAACCGCTAGACCTGCTTTTCTCAAAATTGTACCAGTTGTTCATTTCGTCAACACAAGTAAAATGTTTTTTCAATTATTAAAATCGGATTCTCCGTTCTCTTAAAAACTGAAATACCGTTTTTGGCACTTTTTGCCCCGTATCTTCGGAATGGCTAGACCTGGCTTCGCAAAAGACTAATCAGCACCTATCCTCATCAATACGAATTGAATGTTTTTTGAATTATTCAAATCGGTTGATCGGGGTTCCCGAAATTGTCGACGTAAATTTGTATCCGCACACACTCACATCCATTTTTTCTAAGGTATGCCAAAATATTCAGAAACCTTTGAAACGTTAAGATATATAAAAAAAATTATTTTCGATTTTTTTACGATTACTGAATTAAAGTTAATAAATAAAAGAAATTTGAGAAAATATTTAGTAGTTTTTTTATATAGCCTTTGCAAAAAAAATGTTTGGCGGACTCTTCACATGTGCTAGAAAACCATCATTTAGGCTCAAGAATAGTAGCTCATGACCTGCTCGACTCGTTCCAAGAGTGTTGAACTGTCTATAATTGTTTGGCCAATTTGATTCAATCGTCAACAACGCAGGTTTTTCAAAATAATAAAATTTTACTACAAGTAAACTTTATTCCAAACACTTTTGCATACATATTTAGTTTTTAAAATACACTTTCGCATATTTTTTATTACTTCTGCTACCGCCAGTTTTAAAAGAAATTCAATTCTTGATATTTGTACTTGAGTTACATCTTTACATATGACCCAAGCATTGATTGCTACCAAATCTAAAATGTTGTAGAATACTTGAACGGGTCATCTGCAGAAACCTGCTTTGGTACTGTTTTTTAGGGTGTTGCTTGAATTTAATTTTGCTTTTCGAAGGACCGATTGTAAATACTTTGATTTTGTAACTAGTAATATTTATTTTACTTTAATTACATAAATTACATCGTATTTATAATAATTTAATATGGTTTTATTACGTGTTGAATGATTTAAGTTTAATTTTATAATAAATCGATTGATGATTTTTTGTTTTCTATTTTGCATACGCGCATGCTTTGATTGGCGCGAACAGGTACTTTCCATTACTTATTATTCGTCATACTTAGTATTATTATACAAGGTTATAGTTTCCAGGATACGTTTTTCATTTTTTGGAATTTCTACATTGCGTTGTTTTGAGATCAATAATAAAATTCTATCGACTCTACTTTTATACGTGGTTAGTGATGTGCCCAGTCGAATCAAGTGATTTGAATAATTCGAATCAAGCCTTTAACGATTTGATTCGAATCAGGTTTTACTTCATTCGAATCAACTCGTATCAAGCCGCGAAGTATTTACTGTGATAAAATATGTATGAACATGTTCATATCAAGCACAAATTTTTCATAAATATAAAATTTTTCATAAAAATAAATATAAAAAAATGTTTTAATTTAATTCATTATATAATAATATAAAAAATAATAATAATAAATATCATAAATATAAAAAATAAAACATGAATTAAATCATGCGAGCCACCCGACTTTAATATGCTTAAATGTATCAGCCGACTCCAATCGACTTTATATGACTTTAATCGCATTCATCGACTAACTATATATCATCCGACTTCATATGAATCAAACCGCATGAATCGAATTCAAGCGGCGATATGACTTTAATCAACTTCATATGACTCAAACCGAATCATTCCGACTTCAAGCGGCTCGAGCGATATAACTTCAATCGACTTCATATGACTCAAACCGAATCATTCCGACTTCATGCGGTTCGAGCGATATGACTTCAATCGACTTCATATGACTCAAACCGAATCATTCTGACTTCAAGCCGTTCGAGCGATATGAGTTAACCGTATGGGCGATATCAAGCGACTTGGAAACAGATACAATGCATCGTCGTTCTTGCGTGTTTATTTATTTTACGGAGCGCTGAGAGCGATTTTGTTCGTGAAATATCAATACCCCATTTTGATAATAATTAAGTGTTTTAGATTTTAAATGAACCACTCAAAATTATGAAACGAGTTTCGAGAATCTTTCAATATAATTCTCTTTTGAAACAATTACTAAACACCAGAAAGCCAGTAAATAATATGTTAACTTCTGATTATGTAAGTAATCGCAAATTCACATTAATGAAATTAACTTTCAGCTCTCAGTTCAAATGCGATCCTTTACTGATTAAATAGTAAAATAAACAATCGACCCATGATTCCAAATATTATTTTATATGCTTTAGTGATGCACAATTGTTTGGTAATCTATTATTGTAAATTAATTTGAAGATATGTTTCAACCGTCCTCAAAATTATATCATTTTTAATAATTTTCAGGATATACTTTTTGATAGTAATTTATATTTACAATTTCTACATTGTCGGTTACATTGGTTAAACTAACAATTTTGATTATAAATTTGGGTCACTTTTACTAAATAAATACATCCATGATTTTTTTGTTCATAAAAATACTTGATTCGAATCAGGTTTTTTTCTGATTCGAATCATTCGAATCGGGATTTTTTCGAGTCGGCATATCATTAGTGTACAGGCTTCCGTTTTATAAAGTTTTGTTGAGTATCGCATATTTTTGTTATTTTTTGCTTATGCAATTTGGGGCAATTCTTTTCTATGTGAGTGTATTGAGTGTATTAAGTTCGACCACAACCTAAATATGGCTCAGTCAGTTTATACACAACAAATTTGCTCAAGGGCATATTTGATCCACTGGCTTCATTCTTGCCCAAATAGGGAAACCGTTTAGAAGGTACATACTTCTGACATCTGGGGCTAACAAAAAATTTGATTCCTTTATATAGTTCATTTGGTAGATACTGAGTATAAATGGGCATCATTTTAACATGATAATTTGCAACAAATAATTTTACAGCATTTAATGAACTAATTTTAACATAACTCTATCACCATAACGTTTTTATGAAAAGGAAATAACTACATGTGTCTAATACGGTGAGTCAATTTGTCTCGTATCCGTCAAAATAGTTATAGCACATATGAGCTCTTCGAAGTGAGGGAGTAAGGAGGAATAGGAATTACGAATTACCTTTCATTGTTAATAATCAAAAGAAAGTGTCTAAAGAAATGCATGAGCAAGTCAATTCGGACCGAATCGCATCATAAAGCTCATTCCGACGTGGATATATGAATTCAACGCGCAAACCAGCCTGGCACTACAAACTATCTACATGCTGAATGACGCTATCAATATGAGCCGAAACCAAGACTTTAACTTTTGATTACCTCGAAGTCGATTAAAAGAAATTCTGTATATGTAGAGAACGGTCTAATTTGTGAAAAAACTCATGATTTTTGCGCCTTCTTTATATAATTATCGTCCTGTGATTTTTGTTCCAAAACTTAAACTTGTATATATTGTGACGAGTGCGAATGTACTCGAGATAATAATTATTGTCTCATTCAATATACCTGAGGATTACAGGTGTGGGGGCATGACTGAATCTAGGTGCAGTCATGTCCTATGTCTAAACTTTAACGTACTAAATCATTTTTCATTATAAACTAATTAACAAACTGATGGGGTGACGGAGTAACGGAGGGAATAGCTAATAAACAATACAATCTGACCTTTGCTGGAACGGTTTTTCTCTACTGGCACAACACACACGCTACTATACACTAAGCGGGTCCAAGAGCTCGCGTCTGGACCCGACCGACCTTCTCGGAGGATGTTACATTTGTTAATGACCACTTCTAACCCCCGAATTGGATCTTATATTGCAGAAACCCTAGTAGAGGTCGGTGAGGGATGCCTTTTGCACTAAGGGTTGTGTAACCCTTTGGAGTCGGTGCCTATTGTTGTTACAATATATAATTATGTATAGATATTGTTGAAAAAAAGCTGATCCGAAAATAATAATTTCATGCCTATGATATATACAAAATTCTATATTGTCAAATCTATCTCACAGCTCTAAAAAATGATTTTTAGTGGGCCGTATGATCAAGTACACGGGTTATGGTAACGCCGCTGGCATGTTTGCTAATCGTGGACTACTGGCCGGGAAACAAGCAACAGGTGATAACGAATACAGTTCTGATAGTGACAGTGATACGGAAGAATATCTAGCAGCTGTACCAAATATTAATCCTGTTACTGGGCGATTTGAGGCAAATTTACCAAATTCTACAGCTTATGTATCTGAAGAACAGGTAAGTACAAAATTTACGCTATTACTTGTTCGAAACTTTTTTATAAGTTTAACTTTGTTTGGTTTAGAATTTATCTTTATATTAACTTCCCGTAGGATAAGTTACAGTAATGGCAAAAAATTCAAAAATGAAATTTTTTATATATCTTTACGTTTCAAAGGTTTCTGAATATTTTGTAATACCTTAGAAAAAATGGATGTATGTGTGTGTGTGTGTGTGTGTGTGTTTGGATACAATTTTTTGTCCACGATTACATTTTTTGCGCACGAATCAACCGATTTGAATTATTCAAAAAACATTAGATTCCTTTTGATAAGGAGACGTGGTGATTATATTTTGGCGAAGGCAGGTACAGCCGTTTTGAAGATACGGGGCAAAAAGTGCCATAAACGGTAATTCAGTTTTTGAGAGAACGAAGCGCTCAATTTGAATGATACAAAAAACATTTTACTTGTTATGATGAAATGAATAATTGCTGAAATTTTTGGTAAGGCAGGTCCAGCGGTTTTGGAGATACTGAGAAAAAAGTAAAAATAAAAGATATTTGGCGGCCAAAAATGAACATTAGACATATTCACATCAAATTATCAGGTATTTGATAAAGTTTCCGAAGTTAATTGTTAATTTTTAACTGTTTTCATAAAAAAAATCCGATTGGCTAATTTTTCTGACGTTTCAAGCCATTCTGAATCGAATGAGACCAAATTTGGGAAAAGTATGTGTGCGACGATCAGCCAAGCCGTTTCTTTATAAATAGCAGGAAAGTGAAAAACTTTTCGTCCGCGTTTTAGCCCGCAATTTTGAATCGTTTTTGAAAATTCAAAAACTGCTCGAATGATATTGGTTAGGAATCGTGCTGATTAGTTTTTGGTAAAGATCGGCCGGACCGTTTTCTTGTAATAAAGTTAAAAAATTGTTTTTCCACGATTTCTATGATTTGTTTTGGGCGGTAGATACCATAGTCTTATAGATCATATTAAAATATTACAATCCTACGACAAGTCGTTTAATTTTAAAAATCCTTTAAAGCAAAAATTGGTATTGTTTTGTTGGCATTTGTCAAATCAAAATCGCCAAAAATTATTTTTGGCGATATATATCATGGTCTTATAGAACTTACTGATAGAATATTACGGCCTTACGCCAAGTAGTTTTTAAAAATTCATCAAGGTTTGAGAAAATGAGTAGTTTTTTTGGTGTTTGTTAAAATTAAAATTAGACGATTTACTTGGTGTAACGATAGACTCTATCGGATAGAGTGTTTATTTGTTTTCAATGATGTGTGATAAATCCACTCGAAATATTTTTAATAACTCATAAATTAATTTATATTTTATTGATTAAGTCGATTATCTGGAGGTTTATGTAACTTGCCTCAAGGCAAAATACCAATACCAACTAGTTTTGTTACAATTTGGTTGGGTTTTGTACCAAGATTTTTAATATTTAAAGTTTACTTATACGGTTAAAGCAAATTTCAAAATTATCCGAATCTTTTTTTTTTTCAAAATTTTCAAACATATACAATGTTTTATACTTCAAATATGAATTTTAAATTTACAATTCAGTTTGAAAATGTATATATTTCAAATGGTTTATTCTATATCGTAAGATATATATCTTATAGTGATTATAATTATCACTGAAAGTGAAAATGTTTAGAACATTTGTTATTAATCAATGTTCAATATTTATTGACTACTGAATTTTTTTCCTCAAATATTTAATTCTGGTAGGGGAAGTTCCAGCAATTTGCTTTAACGCACGATGCCATACACCACTAGTTTATATGTGCAAATCAAATTAAAAGATTTTTAAAGAGATTTTAACAATATTCGGTTAAATTCAATATTTTAAAATTAAATTTGAAATTAATATTTATATTTTAAATTTTAATTTTTATTATTAACTTCCCGTAGGGTAAGTTATAGTAATCGTCCAAAAATCGGAATTGAAAATTTTTACATTTCTCGACGTTTTGAAGGTTTCTGAACATTTTGGCATACTTCAGAAAAAATGGATGTGTGTGTGTGTGTGTGTGTGTGTGTGTGTGTGTGTGTGTGTGTTTTGTATGTCCGCGTTTTTTCGTCCACGTTTTCGGGCGCACGGATCAACCGATTTGAATGGTTTAAAAAACATTAGATTCCTATTGATAGGGAGATGTGCTGATTAGTTTTTGGCAAAGGCAGGTCCAGCCGTTACGGAGATATGGAGCAAAGAGTGCAAAAAATAGAAAGCGAGTTTTTAAGAGAACGGATCAACCGATTTGAATGGTTTAAAAAACATTCGATTCCTATTGATAGGGAGATGTGCTGATTAGTTTTTGGCAAAGGTAGGCCCAGAGGTTTCGGAGATACAGAGCTAAATTTAAAAAAAATTGCTGTTTTTGAGTGAACTAAGCGTCCGATTTAAATGATTCAAAGAACTTCCTGCTTTTTTCAACAAAATAATTGATTTTGGAAAAAAAAAATTTTGTTTCTAATTTTTTTTTCAAAAAAAATTTTTTGTAATTTTGGATTAAAAATTCAAAAAATCACCCAAGCTAAGAACAGTCTAAGCGCCACTCTGGTACAAATGTTTACCCAAGTGCGTTTAGACTGTTTGAGTACTGGAGCACTTTTCCAATTTTGTGAAAATTATTGAAAAATGTGAAAATGCCGCCAAGCTGAGCACAGTATAAGTGAAAATGTCGCACAGAATTATTTGCAAATGCGTTCAGACTGTGACTATGCGGGAGCACTTTTTCAATTTTGTGTAAATTTGGCAACTATTTTTTTTTTTTGGAATTTGATTCGAAATGAAATGACGATTGTTAATGTTCTGGAGATGATAAATTGATTTATTTATAATTAATTTTCCATAGGGTAAGTAATCGCAAAAAAATCGAAAATGAAAATTTTTATATATCTTCACGTTTCAGAGGTTTCTGAATATGTTGGCATACCTTGGAGAAAATTGATGTATGTGTGTGTGTGTGTGCGTGCATGTGTGTGTATTCGGATACAAATTTTCGTCGACGATTTCGGGAACACGGATGAAGCAATTTGAATAATTCAAAAAACATTCTAGCCGTTCCGGAAATACGGTAATACCGCCAAAAACGGTAACTCAGTTTTCAAGAGAACGGAGCGTCCGATTTGTATAGTTCAAAAAACATTTTACTTGTATTAACAAGATGAAGATTTGATCAAATTTTCATGAAGATAGGTCTAGCGGTTTCAGAGATCTAGTAAAAAAAACTAAAAAAAAATAACATTTGGCGGTCAACAATAATCATTAGACATTAGACATATGCATATCAAATTATCAGATATTTTATTGAGATTTTAACAATAAGTATAAGTTTTGTTTACATTCCTATGGGTTCCGTACTATTGTTTTTCCGTTAGACAGCGACGCGGCGCTTACGCGCTTCTATATTTCGTCTCTATGCAGTTAAAGCAGTACGATTGCTTTGAAAAAAAGTTCAGATCTTCCAAAATATATCAAAATGAAGATAACATTTTTTCCAAAAAAAAAATTTTATAAAAAAAATTGTTTAAAAATTTAAAAAAAAAAAAATTTTTTTTTCAAAAAAAAGTAATTTTTTGTCCGATTTAAAATTTCTAAAAAATCTTATTTTTTCGAAGTGAAATTTTTTCAAAAATGTTAATCGTTTTTAAAAAAATAATAATTTTTGGCACGGGAAGTTTCAGCAATTTGCCTTAAGGCACGATGCCTTAATTGCCTTAAGACAGAATTCCACTTACAGCTAGTTTTAGATTTTATTCAAGTTAATAATACTGTTTTTGTACCATTGCGCTTCACGAGCTTGTAATCATTTTTGCATATCTTACTAGAAACAGTTTTGTGTATAATACATTTTTGTATGTTTAATATTAAATGATTACATTTTTATTATTTAATTTTATAAACTATTTAATTTTATGAATACTCAACTGATATTATCAGACTACAAATTGATTTGTTTATTATTTAACATCAATTCAAAAATGTTCGGTTATTTTCGAAAATAGTATTCTGGAACAGATGTACACGCCCCCTTAGAACAGCCTGGCGCACCCCTGAGGGTGCGCGTCCCAAAGGTTGGAAACCGCTGCTTTATAGATTATTTACTATAGTTGGCAGAATTGTAACTTTTATTTAATGTTTGTATTTTACTTAAGTTTATATTTTTGTTTAATTGCCGTTAAAAATTATACCTTAACTGTTTCATATTATTTTTTTGATTTATTTATTTGCCGAAACTTTCAGTATTGATAATTATAACCAGCTTTTATTAACTTACCTTAGGGTAAGTTATAGTAATGGGCTAAAAATCGAATATGAAAATGTTTGCATATCTACGTTTCAGAGGTTTCTGAACACTTTGGCAAAACACAGAAAAAATGGATGTGTGTATGTGTGGAGACATTTTTTTGTCGACGATTTCGGGCGTACGGATTATCAGATTCAAAAGCTTAAAAAAACATTCGATTCCTATTGATGAGGAGGTGTGATAATTAGTTTTTGATTAAGAGAGGTCATGTGGCTTCGGAGATGTGTCAGCCAAAAGTGCTAAAAATGTCAGTTTTTGAGAGAACTAAGCATTCGATTTGAATGATTCAAAAAATAATTTATTTAAGTTAATATAACAATTGCTTTTGAGGATTTTTTAACTTCTTTAGTGCAAGTTATAATAATCGCAAAAAAATCTAAAAAGTAAGATTTTTGTATATCTTTACGTTTCAGAGGTTTCTGAACATTTTGGCATTCCTTAGAAAAAATGTGCGTGTGTGTGTGCGTGTGTGTGTGCGTGTGCGGATACAAATTTTCGTCGACGATTTCGGGAACACGGGGTTCAACCGATTTCAATTATTTAAAAAACATTCGATTGCTGTTGATAAGGAGACGTACTGATTAGTTTTTGGTATAAGTAGGTCTAGCCGTTTCGAAGATACGGGGCAAAAAGTACCACAAACGGCAACTCAGTTTTTAAGAGATCAGAGCGTCTGCTTTTAATAATTCAAAAAACATTTTACTTGTATTGACAAGATGAAGAACTGTTCAAATTTTTGGGAAGGCAGGTCTAGCGGTTTTGGAGATCTAGTGAAAAAAGTAAAAAAATTACCATTTGGCGGTCAAAAGGATCATTAGAAATGAGCACATCAAATTATCAGATATTTTATAGAGATTTTAATAATAAGTATAAATTTTCTTCATATTCTTATGGGTTCCGTGACAATGTTTATCCGTTAGACGGCGACGCGGCGCTTACGCGCTTTGATATTTCGTCTCTATGCAGTCAAAGCAGTACGATTGCTTTGAAAAAAAGTTCAGAATTTCCAAAATATTTCAAATTAAAGAAAAATTTTTTTTCAAAGTCTTTTTTTCAAAAAATGTGAATTTTTGTCAAAAATTTATAGTTTCTCAAAAATCTTTTTTCCAAAGTAATTTTTTTCAAAAATGTTAATCTTTTTTAAAAAAAAATACTTTTTGGTACAGGAGGTTCCAGAAATTTGCCATAAGGCACGATGCCATGCGCCCCACTAGTTTTAATATTTAAAAAAAAAATTTTTTTTTGAATATCGGTAAATAATTCGGATTTTAATTCTAATTCTAGCTGAAGTTCTAAACATTACTTATATACTTCAAATAAATAATTTTAACTTTGCAATTCAGTTAAATTCAATTCTTATAAATATTAGAAATATCCTTCATTTTAAATTCGATTGATTAAGTTTTGTTTATTTACTTTTCATAAATAAGGAGAATGAAAGTTACATTATTTATAATTATCTATTTGAAACAACTACTCGTAATATGGTATCTTTACCTTAAGTCTGAATTTTGTGAAAACGGATCAACGAAATAAAATAATTCAAGAAATATTTTACTTGCGTTGACAGCGGGAAGAACTCAATAGCCTTTCGGAAAGATAGGTCAAAAATTATCATTGGACATTGCATATGCAATATGAGATAATAATTGCATGCAAATATTAATTTCAGTTTTTTTTATAGAAATCTTAACAAAGGAAATTCTTTTTATTATATGCCTTTTCCGGAAGATCAATTTAGTAAAAGATATTTGAGACTTCGTGTTTCTATATTTGATTATTCACTTATAGCAATAGAAATACCCACATAATGATTTCTATAACTTCGCTTATTATTATCTTATTTAGACTTTTATTTTTAGAAAGAGTATGAGGCAATGGAGTTAGTCAAATTAATAGACCAATTATCTAAGGGTGGTCTAATCCGCCCTTGTAGGATTGGAGCTGATGGAAAACCAGAACCAGTTGACCATGTTCTTCAGCTGCAAGATGAATTATCAAAAGATTCAAGCAACCTCTGTAGAAAGTAAACATATAGCAATCATGTAATTTATTCGTAATAAATCAGGCCAAAATATACTATATGTAATATATTTTATTGTTATGTATTGTAATATTATTATTGTTGAATTATTTTATTATATATTACAAAGGTCCTGAATCTGTTATCTAGATTTTTATTTCACGATTACTATTTTCATATTTCATAAATAAATAGCAAAGTGCATTTTTCAACTCTACTCCAATTTCGAAATGTTTCATATTTGAATTTTATGATTAATAATTTATTATTTATTTATTTATTATTATTTATGTAGATGATAATATCTGTTTCTTTAACTAAATGTATTGTTTTCAAAAATATGTATATAGGGTTGTTGCCAGTTGGTAGATTTATTCCAGTGACGGCTTATTTTGTTGTATACAAGCGTACAAAAGCATTTTCACCTTCAGCATTAAAAACAGTTATTCGCGATGGTATTCAAGCGCTATATAGTGTGTTAATACTTTATATTTGCCTGCAAAACCAAAATTGGCTATCGTTAGAGCTCTCCATGCCTTCAGCATTTGAAAGTAATTTTTGTTTTGTTTTTTGTACCATTGCTTGATACCGTAATACTGGCAGTGTTGCATCGCGACCAAAATGTCGACGAAAATAAATGGAAACAGAATTGATCGAAATCTATGCAACAGTGATAGAAAAATGACTCATGAATAATCGCGAGAACGGATGCAACACATATTGAGAAATGAGGTTGGATTAAGCCATTGAAGTTCCATAAATGCAAGAGCTGCATCTGTTAGCAAAAAATTTAGACTGGAAAGAACCAAGAAATTGCTTTGCTTGCACGAGGATGCTTGCTACCTTGGTTTCCACAATGAGAGGTCACTCAAAATTGACTAATTTGTGAGAACAAACAGAATGATTGGGTTTATTAGCCCAAGCAGGTCAGCTGAGAATTTACACCTTCGACTAGCCACCAGAGCTCAAGTGTCACCGACGGTAATGGTTTGATTGGTGTGCGCCACCGTAACGGTTGATGGTTGCTAGTATTCATCGACCGTGGGATCAAAGTAAATACCTTAAAGTAAAAGTGGGATCAAAGTAAATGTCTTAAAGGTAGTATTAACCCTTTTCGGTCGAATTTTTATTTATTTTTTTTTTTTTTATTTTATTATTTTTTTTATTTTATTTTTTTTTTTTTTTTTATTTTTTTTTTTACTTGGAATTATTAATATCAAAGTAAATGTCTTAAAGGTAGTATTAACCCTTTTCGGTCGAATTTTTATTTTATTTTTTTTTTTTTTTTTATTTTTTATTTTTTTATTTTATTTATTTTTTTTATTTTTTTTATTTTTTTTTTTTTACTCTGAATTATTTTCCGTCGGTAGAACAGAACACGCAATGTGTAAAAAAGAATTTATAATTGTTTTGTGAATTTTAGATATATTTTTAATTAATAGACTTATTTAGTGTTGTTTTTATATAAAAAAAATGTTTTATATATACTGTATGCCATATGAATGCCATATGAATGGCTGAGAACAGACAAATGACTGGAATGGTAAAAAAGCTTTGGTGGCTGAGAATGTACAAAAGACCTAAAAAAGTTGGGCAGACAAACATTTCGGCCGAAGACCATGGACTTTCCAACAGGAGTCAGCACCATCGCACTCAGCACGCGTCAACCAAGAATGGCCTAAAAAGTAGGCCTTGCTTCAATTCCACAGCACAATGTTCACCAAATTCTCCGGATATCAATTCGTTGGACTTTTGCGCGTGTGGAATTCTGGAGAGTAAGGTTCGCACTAAAAAATATGAAAGTGTCGATCATCTCATAAAAGCGCTACGCCTGGAATGGGCCAGAATACCGCAGAGCCACTTTCGTGCAGCGGCAAAATAGAAAGGACACAAAGTTAAAATGCAAAGTGAAAAATGCCAAAGATGGGAACACAGATACGAAAATTGTCCCTATATATAATAGTGATTAAAACACGAATGGCTTCATAAAGTATCACATTAAACAGAGTTCAAATAAGTGTTCACCACATTTTGGACAGATACGTATCAACCAACTGGCGCTGCAAAAAAAAATAGTTTTTTGAAAAGGCAGCTCCAGCAATTTCATCAAAATTTCGAAATGTTCTAAAATTTCCATATTAATTATATTTCTAAATTTTCGTAATATTTCAGATATTTCAAAATTAACATTCAAACTGGGTTTGATTAGGTTTTGTTTATATATATTGACGTCTATTGTAAACCTTATTGAGTTTATTGTGAGATAACGCCGCTACAATATGAAATATGAAAAAAAATATATTTATTTGAAAGTATTTATAATAATCTATTTCAAAATATTTAAAACAATTGTTATTAAACTCTTTTATTAACTATTTGAATATTTAATTACGGTACTGATAGTTCCAGCAATTTTTCTTAAGAGGTTACACCACTGTAAATTTTTTGAAAAACCATAAAAATTAGATATTAAAATATACTTTGAACCTTTTAGAATACGAGGAAAAATATTTCATACCTAAAACTTTCTTTTTTTACTTGTAATTATGAGCTTTTTTCCATGCGCGTCAGACTGCTCCGAACCGACACCGCTCAAATACATTAACAAAAAACATTATAAAGCAAAATTACAACATGTATTTTTTTAAATATACTAACAAATGTTATTATGAAGCATTTATATTGTATGAAGAAACTGTAAAAGCATTTTTAACCAATAGATAATCAGTACAGAGTCAGCACATATGAACATTGTCTATATTGCGGCTGATATTGCCGGGAATAATTTCATCGATGGTCTAATAAATATTTAATAAATAATAATAGTTTTGTAGATTAATATTGGAGCCTAAATATGAAGACGATTATAAACGTCTTGAGCATGCCGAAAGGTATTTGTGGGATGCGCCAGAAGTAGGAGGCGCTCTAATATAAAACCGATAAGGAAAGAAAAGAAAAAAATATAAAAATAAAAAGACACCTGTATGTTGTACGGATATCAAATTGATAGTAAAAAAATTAAACTGTCAACAATTATATCACTACAACAATTTAATTTTTTTTCATTCGATTTTTTTACAGTATATTTAATATATAATCTTCTATATATAAAAATAAGTCGGGTTTTCCTTCCTGACGAAATAACTTCAGAACGCACGAACTGATATCGACAATTTAGCATTTGTAGGAAAGGTCTCGGGCTCCGCAAGGTTTATAGCTAAGAAAATTAGTGGTGCATGGCATCGTGCCCTAATGCAAATTGCTGGAACTTCATGCACCGTAATTAAAAATTCGAGTAATAAAAATAATCAACAATTGTTTTAAATAATTTCAAATAGATTATCTTCTATATATATAAAAATAAGTCGGGTTTTCCTTCCTGACGAAATAACTCCAGAACGCACGAACTGATATCGACAATTTAAGTTAAGTCAACGAGCAATTCTTGCAGCAAAGAATAATGATATACACGCACTGAATTTCACCATTAAATCAAAAATTGCTGGCGATTTGGTGACATAACAATAATTCCGACTGGTCTTTCGTTTGACTTCAAACGATTGCAATTTCCAGTTCGCCTTGCGTTCGCAATAACAAGTCGCAAGGCCAATCGCTTAGTGTTTGCGGAATAAATATCAAATAGATTATTTAGAAAATCATTGTTTTTCACATGGGCAGTTATACGTTGCCTGTTCACGAGTTGGAAAACCATCAGCTTTGTTTGTGTTAACGTCAGACCAAAAAACAAAAAATGTGGTTTACCAAAGAGCACTTCAATGAAACGGATAATTTGCGGATTCACTTTCATTTACTTAGAGAAGTTCAACTAAAAAACACTTCATTTTTGTAATCGAAATAAATTCATTACTGTTTTATAATAAAATCACATTTTTCCTTTTCTAATATAAAATAAACAAAAAATTTCTTCATCTTTCTCACGAAACCATCTGGTGACGAATTCGTCGTGTTCGTCGGGTTTGCTAGTATTATATAATAATTTGAATACAGTATATTTTTAAATGCACATAATAGCGCATTTTTTAAATGTTAATTTGTTCATCAATTATTAACAAATTACTATCCGCTTTTTCGTTGAAATTTAACGACTTTGAATAAAGTGCTCGCAAAACAAACAAAAATTGATATTTTTTAAATACGCTATGATGGGCACTTCAAAATGTAATTTAACATATACTGTAGAAAATTCGAATTAAATTTAAACTACAATAAATAACCATATTCAATGTCATGATTTTATTACTTTTTCTTCTGCCCGAAAAAAATGACAATAATATACGTTTTTTTGGTAACAATGTCAGGACAGGTTAAGACAATAGAGAATCATATCAGTGATATTTTTGTTAAGAATACTATCGCATTAGCAGAGTGATTTTAACTTTTTAAAGGTGCAGCATAACATGTCAATATATTTAGAAAATTTTACCGAATTTTTTTTTTTATTTATTGAACCATATACAGATGTCTAGAAGGTCTGGAATTTCATAAGTGTCTCCAGGCCAGTAAGTTGGTTCACCTTTAGATAAGTGTTTAAGTCCACAGATAGCTTTAGCTTTATGAAGTTACTTACCTCTTGTATTGCTTAATCTTGAACCCCATAAAAAATGTTTAGCGTTATTGTCACCTATTTATAATCAGAGTGGCTGATATGTAATGCAACAAAGAAAAGCACTATATTTTTTCTTTTTTTTTAAAAAAAAAATTGTTCAAAAGCAAAAAATTTCGGAAATAACATCGAATCCTAGTTCGGAAATAACATCGAAAATTTGTTCTAATTGCCCATCTTCAGCACAAATTATGGCCTTCAATCGGCCAACAAAGCCATCACACCATTCCCATCATTGCCATTTTTCACTTTACATTTTAACTTTGTGTCCTTTCTATTATGCCTCTCGTGAAATCCATTAGATTTTCTCTTCTTTATCACCTGATTCGTTGTTTTTATTTTTATTTTGTTTCATCCTTTCTTGTTCAATGCACTCTTTGTTAACCCTGTCATTGTCGCCACGCTCTTCGTCAATCGCAT